TGACTAATTAGTTTACAAAAAATTCTTGAGATTAAACGAATTATCATTCCTCAAAATGGATTTATAGGTAAATTTTTTTAAAAAGGAAAATTTACCTAGAAATCCTAAATGAGGAAATATTGATCTATTTAGTTCTAGGAGTTTTCTTATAAATCAATTAGTCATTTTTGTTTTGAAAAGTTATATTTATTTGATTTGGTGCCATTTGAGTTAAAGTGAATGTCCTTTGGTGATTCATTTTTCCAAGTTTTTGATTTGTTTTTGGGGATAGGAATGGAAATGCAAACTGTGGAAGATTCTTTTTTGGGAGATTTATAGCTGAAATGTTGGTTGTTGAGCGTGGAAATCTACGTTTCTATTAGTATGAGTTTTTAGTATTACATTGGAGTGTGTTACATTAGAGTGCTATATTAAGGAGTTTTTGTATATTACATTGATTGGAGCCCTACGTTTGGGAAAAATATATTAAGGCCTCGTTTGGGAACAGACTAATTTAGTAACTTTTTTGCTATTTGGCTAAAATATGAACTAAAAAAAATTAGTATGTTTGGGATGACTTTTTGACTTTTTACGAAAAGATGTGCAAAAAGTAGAAAGAAAAAGGAATCTTTGACTTTTTGGTATAGGTTATTGGCTTTTTGGCTAGTTTAGTAACTTTTTAGCTAAAAAGTTCGGTTGCCAAACGAGGCCTAAGGAAGTCTTTTGAAATGTTATGTTTTTACGTTTGAAAAAATACATTAAGAAGTTTTTTAGTGTGTTACATTGCAGTGTTATGTTTGAAAAAAGTACACTAAGTAGTTTTTTAGAATGTTATATTATTACGTTTGAGAAAAGTAAACTAATGAATTTTTTAGTGTGTTACATTAGAGTGTTATATTGAAATGTTACATTTGATAAAAGTACATTTAAGAATATTTTAATGTGTTACATTAGAGTATTATATTGAAATATTACATTTTCAAAAAGTACACTAAGGCCTCATTTGGCAACCGAACTTTTTAACCAAAAAGTCAAAAAGTTACTAGGTTGATTTGGCAAGGGCTCATTGGGCTTTTTTGGCTCAATGAGCCATAAAAGACAGAATAGGCTCATGAGCCACAACAGACAAAACATCCCATCCAACACCATAATCATTACACTTTTCTCTCACAAAAAAATCAAAAAAGTCAAAAAGCCAAAAGCCCTTCCCAACCTAAGCTTTTGAGCCCAGGCTCATATAGTCAAAAAAGTCAAAAAGCCAAAAAGCCAACCTACTTCCCAAACGGAGGCTAAATTAACCAAAAAGTCAACAACCCATACCAAAAAATCAAAGATTTTCTCTCTCTACTTTTTGCACATCTTTTCGTAAAAAGTCAAAAAGTTATCCCAAACATACTAGTTTTTTTTAGCTCATATTTTAGCCAAATAGTCAAAAAGTTACTAAATTAGCCTGTTCTCAAACGAGGCCTAAAGAGTTTTTTTTAAAGTGTTACGTTTAGTAATTTCAACATTATGAAAAAACTTACATTTATCCCTCAACATATAACAAACACATATTTATGCTTGGCTCATTATGTAATTTACACTAAAATGAGACATTTGAACCCATAAAAAAGAGAAAGAATCACACATTTCATAAGATTACTGTTTAAAATTTATCGGTGGTGATAGAGAGCTTTAAAAGTAGAGTTTTAAATTGAGCTCTACTTATGTGGAAAAAAAAAAAGAAAAAAAAGAAAGAGATCAAAACACCACATCAATGATGGGCTTCACTTATTAGAGCTCCTTTAGAACTCTTGTTAGAGTTCTCAAATATTTTTTAAAATTTATTGATATTTTACCTTTTAATTTATTATTGAAATTTCAAATTCATGATTTTATTACAATCTTGCCCTATTAATCTGGAGCTATCAACTCACACCACAATGATTTTGATAAAGTTGAAACAAAGCTATACTACTTCAGTCTGTGTTGAACGAGTAATTATAGATTTCACGTGTTTATGATTATCTATACTGTAAGGGCATCTTTAAAGGTGTATTTTTTTTTTTCCCCCGTGAAATTTAAATAAAAATTTTATTTGACATCAAATGTTTTAATAAAAAATTTAGAGTTTTCATCTGAACACCAGTTGACTAAGTGGAGGATCGGACGAATGTTCAATCGGTTGACTAACTAATGTATTTTTGTTTACAAATTTTTTCCTAAAAATGGTCATTCTAAGGATATTCGGTGGTAAAAATCTAAAGCCTATGAATAGTGATTTGATAAAAACTCCCAGACATCTTTAATTTGATGAAAGATTTTTAATATCTTCAATTTGATACCCATTTGATGAAACTATTAAAACAGAAAAATACTATTTTTTCATCAAATTTTAATTTAATAACAAAATTAATGAACTATTGGAGATGATCTAAGATGTCTTCTCTTGTCTATTCAAGAGATAAAGACTACTATAATTTATTAAAAAAAAAAATACACATTACATTTAAATAAAAAATATTAAGCGTTGAAAATTTAATTACAAAATTATTTATTGCAAGAAAATTGTATATAATTCTGTGCACAGGAAACAATTGAATTTTTGAATTTTTTTTGGTACGTTAAAACACTTCTAAATTGGACTTATCAATAAAAATCCCTATTTTTAAAATCTTCTTATCAAAATATATCAAATAAGATCCATATTGACTATTAAATTTAAAATAAAAAATTATTATCATCAAAATAAGATCCATATTGACTATGAATTTTTTTTTAAAATATATATTATTACCGTCGAAATTAATGTAAATAAAAATATGTTACTCTATTTGATAGTAACATATTACTTTAACACACATTGACATGTTATTTTAACAATATTATTCAAGAAAAAAAAATTTCATTTATCCTCACTCAATTATGCATCTCCACCTTAAAAAATTTATGAAACAAAATAATTTAAACTGTTATTTCCATCAAATAAAAGTCTAATTGAGAAATTTTCACTACCATTTAGGCTTGGTTTGGCATAATAAAAAAAAGTCAAAAAGTTATTATTCTATTTAAGTCACATCATCTTATTTAATGTCATTATCTCTCTACCACATCACTTTAAAATCAGCCCATACCCAACCCACATTTCATAAAAAGTCAAAAAGTGTATTTTTTTTTTCATTTGTGTTTTTTTTTTCTTTTTTTTTTTCAAAATATATCTATTTTTAATTATTAAACTGTCTTCAGCGTTATATTTTGGAATAAATTACAAATACATTCATTGAGATTTGCTTAAAATACGAATTAACTCTTATGATTTAAAAAATTATAAATACTTTTCTGTCAAAATTTTTTATTTAATAAAATTAATTAAAAAATGAAATTTATAACTGTTCATCTATACAATAATAAAATTATCTGAATTATTAATTGAAATAAAATTTTAACATTATTAAGAACTGTTAATTAACTTGATGATTTATTAAAAAAGTACCTATTTATTATGAAATTAAAACCTTAAGAGACATATTGTAATTTCTAAAATTACGAGAAATAATTTATAATTTAAGTAAATTTCACACGATTTAATGATTAAAAAAACACATATTTATAAACAAAAATAAATAAATTTAAGACAAAAAAAATTTTATTTGAAAACATAAAATTGCGTTTGATAGAGTTTTGTAAATATGATTTGAAAGTCTGAATTGTATTTTGAGTTTGTGAGTTGTGAAATTATGATTCGAGTATAGAAAATTTGTTTGATTATGGTTTTTGAATAGAGTGTTGAATTGAGTATTGAATTGTATGTGGAATTAAGTTTTGAAAATTTGATGTGACATGTGAAATAAGAAAATTTATTTGGTGATCAGTTTTCAAAACTTAATTCAACTTATAATTGATAATTTAACACACAACTCATAACTCGATATCTGTATTTTTTATCAACAGTCATAACCAACTATTTTTAAAATACTCAAATAAAAAAATGATTTTTTTTTCAATTAATTATTTTTAAGTAATTTTTTTGAATAATTTTTTTTTCAAATAACTTATATGTCAATTATTTTATGTCAATTAATTTTTCTGTCAATTCATTTTTTAGGCCTGCATAAACATTAAATATTAAAAATATTTTTAAATTATTTAGAAAATTAAAATATTAAAAATATTAAAAATATTCTGAAAATCATAATATTTACAATTAAAATATCAAAATATTAAAATTAAAATATTAAAATATTTTTATGAAAATTAAAATATTAAAAATATTCCTACAAAATAAAATAAAATATTTAAAACAAAAAAATAAAAAATATTTAAAATGAAAATTAAGTTGTTTTTGAGTTTTGAAATGAGTTTTGAAATGAGTTTTGAGTTGTGTGTTTTTTGTTATGAGTTTTGAAAAGTAATGATTATAGTTTAAAATTAGTTTTGAGAAATGAGTGTAGAATTATGATTTGAAAACTGCAACTAAATACCACACTCAAATCAATGATAGAACTATATTTTGAAATCAAAATCAAACAGAGTCTTAGGCCTCGTTTGGGAACAGGCTAATTTAGTAACTTTTTTACTATTTGGCTAAAATATGAGCTAAAAAAAATAATATGTTTGGGATGAATTTTTGATTTTTTACGAAAAGATGTGCAAAAAATAAAAATAAAAAGAACTTTTAATTTTTTGATATGAATTATTAATTTTTTAATTTTTTAATAATTTTTTAATTTTTTAATTAAAAAAAAATTACTTATATTTAAAAATTAAAATATTTAAAAATATTCAAAAATTAAAAAATCGTAACATATTTAAATATTAAAATATTTAAAATCTTAACAAAATTAAAATATTTAAAATATTTAAAAAATTAAAATATTAATTTGAATTGAATTTTGAAAAGAGTTTTGAATTATGTATTTGATTATGAGTTTTGAAAAGTAATGATTATATTTTGAATTGAGTTTTAAGAAATTGACGTAAAATTATGATTTGTATACTCAAAACAAACATTACACTTAAATCAACTAGTGAAATTATAATTTGAGAGGTTTAACAAATGGACCCTAAGATTCTTTGATATTGTAATTTCGATGTTTATATACAAAAACTCTACTTACTTTACAAAAAAAAAAAAAATTCAAAATGTCGGAGTTTAATAATTACAGACCCGAAATTGACCCATAATCACCGTAATACTCATCGACACCAGAGGCAGCCCAGAGCCGTTGATTAAACTCATCCTGCATATCGTGCGGCACAAAAGGGGTCCTACAAAGCGGACAAGTCTTCTGATCATGATCCATCCAACGGTCCAGACACCTCCGGTGGAAAATGTGCTTACAGTTCGCCAACCACCTGATCTCTTCGCCGACCTCCAGCTCGTAGAGGCAGACGGCGCAGCTCTCGGGCGGATCTCCGGCGGCCGAATCCTCCAGCTTCACCACCGGCAAGAGTTCCCGGATCAGCAAGGCGGATACGGGCAAGGTTTCGGGTATGCGGGTCGGGGCTTCGGGGAAGTGGAATTCGGGTTCGAGGAAATCGGGGAGACCCAGAAAGCGGAAGAGAGAGAGAATGAGGTTTCTGATGAAACCCAGAACGGAGAGAAAGTGTATCAAGATTTTCGGAAGAAAAACTTCGGTGCAACTCATTGGAAACCCCATGGAAATCGAGAGAGAGAGAGAGAGAGAGTTTCTTTGGAAGAGAAGATGAACGTACTTCGGATTCTCCTGTGAGTGGTTACATATATATAGTACGAGAAAAAGTTGAAGTGAAGACGACTAGTGTCACTGACTGTGATTTTAAGATTCTGAATGAACCAATGAGAGAAGAGATGAGTGAGTTTTCTTTAGGTGGGGCCACTTGATTGGACACTTTTTCTGCGATTTTATTGGTGGGTGAGGGAAAAATAGATTGGAGTGGTGTGTGTTAATTTGGTCTAATGTGTTGGTTCATTATGATCAGAGAAAAATACGAGTCACCTTTGGGCAAGTTGGGTAAATTGCATACGTGTCAACTTCATCTATTGAAGGAGAGTTTAGGTCTCGTTTGCGGAGTCCGGATCCTCTACGTAATTCCTCTACTTGGCTCCCTATTGGGAACGGTCCAGATGGGATCAAGGCAGATGGGCCGCTCAGATCATTTTATTAAAAACAAAAAATTCAAACCAATTTTTTGCTGAAAGTGTGAAAGAGGAGAGAGAGTTGAGCAATCGAAAAGAAAGAGAGGGAGAAAGATACGCATCGACAAACCACCATCACTATTTGTCCACCGACAACTACCGTCTACTATTTTTTACCGGCGACCACCATCCATTGGCCATTGTTGCTACTTTTATGCCTTCCCATAACTTGGAGTAATTGAATAAAAAAAAAAAAAATCATTAAACCCAGATTTTTGAAGTTTTGATCAAATGCCAAACAATAATTCAAATATCACAAAAATAATAAATCAAAATCTAAGAAAACAAAATTAACAACAGCTTATTTCTTTCCCCCCTATCTTTCTCTATACGTGTTCCACCCTCTCTCTCTCAATATATATATATATATATATATATGCAAATCTATATCTATCACTCTCTTGATCTCTCTGCTTTGTAAGATATGTAAAATCAAGCAGTTGAAACTAGCTTTGGTGTATAATATGGGAAAAAATCTTGATGGGTTCTTGGTCTTTTTGCTCAATTTATTGTAATTTTATATATATATATATATGTATTGGCAACAAAGTTATGGAAAACTTTGAAAGGAATTGAAAGATCTTCTTCTTTAGGCCCTTGTTTTAAGCAATATGGGAAGAGCTACAAATGCCAGCTTTTGACTTTTTACTAATTTTGGGTCACATCATCTCTCACATTTTTTATTCACAAAAAAACAAAATAGACTAACAAAGCCAAAACATTAACTTTTTACCAACTTCTCAAAACACTCCAGAGTGGCCATTAGGGTCGCTGTTGGAAGTGGGTTATCGTAAACAGGGTCGCTGGTGAGATGGGTTGTGTGTGGTGGGGAAGAAGAGGGTGAGGGTGAGGGTGAAGGTAATACTCTCTCTCATCTTTCACACTTTCAGTAAAAAATTGGTTTGAATTTTTTTTTTTTTTTTAATGAAATGATCTGAACCGCCCATCTCCCTTGACCCAATCTGAGCCGTTCCTAGTAGGGAGCCAAGTAGGAAAATTAAGGAGAGGATCCGAACTCTCATTTGTGAGTGTGATTTTTAGTTAAAAAAATTAAAAGATTATTTTAAATTGTTTTATATATTTTTTATTTTTTGTAAATTTTTTTATAAAAATAAAAAGTGAATTAAAATAGTTAATTTTTAATTGGGGGCTTAGTAGATGTTTAATCATCTCTCTTTGTCACTTATCTTGTTATATAAATAATTAGACCAACTTCTCTCTAGCTTGTGATTAGATAAATGGTAGATGTCCAGTCTAATTTATTATGGTTTCATTTGAAAATTAGAACCATTTATCTTGTTGAACATATTGTTTATATAAAAAATTAAAGTTAATCAAATTGTATTCATTTTTTTTAACAATAGAAATTTTTAACAAAGTTAGCTAACTAACACTTATAAAAGAGTTCATCTAACAAAATAAATTTACACCATACAAAGTAAAGATCAATAATGAAGCACCCAACAATATCAATAATGAAGCACCCGGCAGAGATTGGAGTCTTCTTGTTGCTGATATCATTGGCAGAGCTAGGGAAAGGGCTTAAGCCTTTGTGGTTGTTTTATTTCCGATGTACCTAAAAGAAATAATGAAGCACCCAACAATAAAAAGTGACAATAAACGGAGGCTAATATTCAATCAATTGAAGTCTTAATATAAATAGTTTGGATCATTAAATTAGGCTTATGGTGAGTCAACTTGCCTTGACGATACGAATGGAAGAACAGAAACTTTCTGATTAATAATTAGCATTACTTTGTTTTATGAAATTGGAATGGTACAATATAAAATTATGTGATTAGAATTATCAAATTAGGCTTTGTTTGATTAGGATTTTTTAGACTAAAAAAGCACAAAAGATAAAATACGTTAAATAAGTTAATAAATAAAATAATACATTCAAATCATAATTATCTCACTTTTTCTCTCATAAAAGTCATAAAACTAAAAAAGCTAATCCAAATAAACTTTTTAATTCCAAACTAAAAAAGGTTCAATTCAAAAAAGACAATTAAAAAAATCCTAGCCAAATGATAACTTAATTTGAATTTTTTTAATAAATAATTTACAAATTATATAAAATTAATAATTTAAATTATCAAAATAGAATACAAACAACAAGCTGTACCAATCCCATCCTTTTATGAAATTAGTGACAAATGAGTCTCATTAATAACTAGGTAATAGTATATCTTGTAATAGTGTTTCTGAGCATTCATTTGGAATGTGAATTAACTTTTAGACCTTTTAATTATTTTAGTCTGGGACTAAATGTCTCATTTTGGATAAGTTTTTTGACTTTCATAAAAAAAAAAATGAAATGATGGCTTGGAGGTGACATTTTGTCTTATTTAGCTAAAATAACCTATTTTATCCTATATAACTATTTTAATCCAAAATTACTTCCCAAAAATAGCCTCAGAGAGGATTCGAGGACAATAATTTTGTGTGAATGCATTAACATTGGTTTTTTTTTTTTTAAAAGTTCTGAAACCAACTTCATACCTCTCTCCCAATCGCAACATTACAACTTAGGACAAGTTAAAATGACAATTAAAATAAATTGGGCATGGTTTAGTTTAATTGAAAAAAAGGGAGATGAAAAAAATATATATATATATTAAAATAACTTATCAAAAAAAGGGATAGCCAAAACGATGCTTATAAGAAATTTTTAAAAGTGTTTGGATTGTCTTTAGTTGGTTAAGTCAATTGGACCATCCAGTCCAATTTATTATGATTTCATTTAGATTTATTTTGATGATTCGAATTATTTATTTTGTAAAACTCGTTAAACATATTTTTATACCAAAAAAAAAAAAATTCAAATTGATTAGATCACATTTAACTAAAATAAAATCGATGGACTACTTTGAAAATCATGTTTCAAAATCATATTGTTGTAAATTGTTTTGAAGGGGGAATGGCTTCTCTAGTTTCAATCTTCTATTTTTGTGCTACATCAACTAAACGTTCGATTCAAATGTCCGAACTAGAGAGGACCTCAGCCCAGGCGTAAATTGTTACTCAACTCAACAAGTTTTTTTTTTTCTTAATTACTTTAAGTTTGAATGAGTCTATTGCCTTCTACTCTCTCTCCTAAAATAATAATTTTTTTTAGAAAATTCAATTTTTTTTAATAGTACAATTATTGTACTTTAAAAATTAATTTTTCAAAATTATCTTTTGTTAGTACATTTTTTTGAAATATTATAATTGTACTTTTTGTATTGTTAATGAATTTAAAAGAAGGACAAAATAGAAAATTCATATTATTTTAGTCCTTGATTTTTGAAAAGTGACTAATATTTTAAAATAATAAAAATGAAATAAGAGACTAATATTTTGAGACGGATAGAGTATTTATATATTAAAATAACTTATCAAAAAAAGGGATAGCCAAAACGATGCTTATAAGAAATTTTTAAAAGTGTTTGGATTGTCTTTAGTTGGTTAAGTCAATTGGACCATCCAGTCCAATTTATTATGATTTCATTTAGATTTATTTTGATGATTCGAATTATTTATTTTGTAAAACTCGTTAAACGTATTTTTATACCCAAAAAAAAAAAAATTCAAATTGATTAGATCACATTTAACTAAAATAAAATTGATGGACTACTTTAAAAATCATATTTCAAAATCATACTGTTGTAAATTATTTTGAAGGGGAAATGTCTTCTCTTTAGTTTCAATCTTCTATTTTTGTGCTACATCAACTAAACGTTCGATTCAAATGCCCGAACTAGAGAGGACCTCAGCCCAGGCGTAAAATGTTACTCAACTCAACAAGTTTTTTTTTTCTTAATTACTTTAAGTTTGAATGAGTCTATGAAAAATGTTTGGGAGCTCTAAATTTGGAGCACTAAAGGAGCTCTAGAGAGTGGGTCCCATTGACTGATGTGATGTTTTGGCCTTAAGTTTTTTTTTTCTTTTTTCTTTTTGAATTTCCACGTCATTAGTGGTCCATTAGTGCTCCAAAATTAGTGGGATGTATCATTGTTGATGAGTCTATTGCCTTCTACTCTCTCTCCTAAAATAATAATTTTTTTTAGAAAATTCAATTTTTTTTAATAGTACAATTATTGTACTTTAAAAATTAATTTTTCAAAATTATCTTTTGTTAGTACATTTTTTTGAAATATTATAATTGTACTTTTTGTATTGTTAATGAATTTAAAAGAAGGACAAAATAGAAAATTCATATTATTTTAGTCCTTGATTTTTGAAAAGTGACTAATATTTTAAAATAATAAAAATGAAATAAGAGACTAATATTTTGAGACAGATGAAGTATTTAAAATCATATTTTCAAAGTAATTATATTCTTTCTTGCTGTCTTAGGTTGAGTTTGGAATCAATATAAAAAGGTCACATTTTTTCAATTTTTTTTTTTTTAGCATTAGTATTTTAATTTTTAAATTTATGTCAATTTTTTTTACTTTCTAAGTCCATCTTGTGTAAAAGAATCTCAAAAGTAAAAAAATAAATATATAAATAAAAATTCACTAACCAAAT